TGTAAAGGTTGTAACTAATCCCATTGATTTTCTGACAGAAATATTTGAGTTTGTTTGGTTGATGTTCTTCTTAGGGTGAGGCAGTTGCATGCAGCAGTAAGGGTGACAATCTCGGTTCCTTGTTCGTCTTACAAAGTTCAAAGTCCCTCACTTTGGATAAACCCTAGGCTTTATTGTTGGTGTACGAGATCACTGGGAACAACTTCGGATGCAGTTTCTCAGTTCGCTGGCTTCCCATGTCGGAAACCTTTGTCTCAGATGGAAGCAATTCCCTTATTCGCATCATTTCTCCTCTTCTCCGAATTCACACTCGAGAGGTCAGCTCATCGATTTTCTCAAGAAGCAAGGGTTCCCGAAATCTCAAGCAGTTTCCATGGTGGGTCGTTTCCCTCACGTTGGATCCCTCGACCGTCCTCGAACCGTGGTTCAACTTTTCAGAAACCTAGGTTTCTCTGATTCTCAGATCCGGAGCTCGATCCGGGTCCTACCCCAGATCATCTTCTGCGACGCCACGAAGAACCTTGAGCCCAAAATTCGATTTCTCGAAGAACTCGGATTCTCTGGTTCTGCTTTGCCTAAGTTCCTCTCTAAAAATTCCTCGGTTATGAGCCTCAGCCTGAAGAAAAGATTGATCCCTTCCACTGAAATTATAAAGACCATTCTCTCGCCTAACGACGAGAACAACAAGGAACTGGTTAAGGTTCTTAGCAGATGCAGTTGGCTGCTGAACAGAGACCCTAATGCGTATCTCTTACCCAACATTGCTTATCTCAAGTCCTGTGGAATTGTCGGCTCACAGCTTGCTTTCCTACTGAAGAAACAGCCAAGGCTCCTCATTTCGGAGGAGAACAAGCTTAGGGTTTATGTTTCTCGTGCTCTGGATCTGGGTTTCAGTGTTAACTCAGGAATGCTGGCTCACGCGGTGCACGCGCTCAGTTGTCTGAGCGAGAAGACATTCGACAGGAAAATGAAGACGTTTTTGGATCATGGGTTCTCAGAGGATCAGACAAGAGAGATGATCAGAAGGGCTCCTGGTCTGGTTCGATGCTCAACGGACAAGTTGAAGTTGGGAATGGAGTTCTACATGGAGACAATGGGGATAAAGAGAGAAACTTTGGTGAAGCGGCCATGTATGTTGATGCACAGTATGGAGGAGAGAGTGATACCTAGGGTTAAGGTTTTGCAGGTTTTGAGAGG